TGACGATTTTCAAGAAATTTTTCAACTGAAAAAATTCATCGACCCATTGTCCCAATGTCATTTATGGACGCGAATTTGATTTTTTTTCAATCAGAAGATCAATCAATTGAAAGCACTTCTCCCACGCTAGAAAATAACTTGCTGTTTCTCAACGCGTATGTCGCTTACCAAGTTATCATCATCAGAAGATGACCCAGTCTCAGTCATCTCCTTAATTCATTTTACGCCAGAGATTAAAACGACTCACCAGAAAATCGAGTAACGCCATTTTCCATAAGATAGTATCATTCATATATTATTTTTGCTCTAGGATATATTATTCAAACTGTTGAATTTCGTAGAATCAACAGGATATTTGAAAATCGTGCATTCATTTTCAGAAAACCAACAGTTTCCTTAGGAGACATCTTCTAAAATTAACTTTGACATTAGATGCTCTGGTGGTCTATAAGCCTAAAGAATAAGGAAACAAGGAAGATAAAGAAACTTGAAAAGGACTCAATTTGGTTATCTAGATGACTCTCAGGAAAGACTAGGAGAGAATAAACCTATTGGGCTCAATACATCAAAAAGTCAACAAAAGCGGCAAGAAGATGCCATAGAATGAAGCATTAGAGCTGTGACTCACGAATGGATAGGATACTCGTTCAGCTGGATTGGCAAAAGTAGACGTCTTAGTGGTTCCTGCAAAAATTCCCGTGGAGTGCGTTCCAATGGGAAGTGTGACCATGTAGTCAAGAGTCAAAATTCACAGTATCAAAATATGACATGTCGACACTGAAGTTGACTTGAAGACATTTGTTGAGTTCGAGTTTGCTGACATCTAGTGGATTTTCATTGCACGTTTTCAAGGATATCAGATAGTGGAACCATATTCGAGGAATTGAATTGAACGAACTGGTCACCTCACTGACCGGCTATTTTCTGACCACGGGAATAAGGATTTCCGAAAATTTCTGTATTGCCTTACACTATGATTTGCAGCTTGCTGGTAAACCTAGAATGGGTCCCAATCCCAAGAAGGCAGAGATGGTCCTTTTCACCAAGAAAAGAAGTTTATCGGGCTTAAAACCCCCCGAAATTTTCAAAAGCAAACTAAACTTCTCTGAAGAGGTGAAATACCTTGGTACCATCCTCAACAGGAAGCTGACATGGAACTCACACCTACAGAGTAGAGAAAAAGAGCATATGTGGCTTACGAGCAATGTCGGAGGACAGTGGAACGCGCAAAGAGTATTTCATCCCATATGGTGGTCACCTGGATCTACACTTCAATAATAAGACCTATGTTAACGTACGGAGCCATTGCATAGGGGGCCAAAAGTTCTACAAGCAACGGCCATCCAAAAAGTATATCAAATTCAGCGATTGGCTTGTTTAAACATCACAGGAGCCATGAGAACAACACCAACCGCGGTAATGGAATTAATTACTAGTCTGACCCCTCTGGACCTGTACGTTAAGGAGGTTGCGTTGATGGCCATGTTACGATTGCGCACGGCTGGTGTAAATCTCGAAGTAGGAATGGGTCAATTGAGGCTGGGCCTATGGCGAGAAGCGCTTACTGCGCAACCTCTGCTGCGGGCAATCAGGGATGCAATTGAACCCAGGTTTGTGTTTAATAAACCCTACAAAATAAAAATAAAACAGAACATAGAGTCAGATGCTACGAATGTTCATATATATGAACAGCTCAAAAACCAAAGAAGGCTCAGGATGTGGAATGTACTCCAGATCACTAAGCCTAAGGATCAAGTGTGGAATGGAAAAAATACCAGCGTGGTTCAAACAGAAATAACCAGAAAAGGAATTTCTGGCAAAAACATTACAATCTGCACTTATAGCAGACAAGCCCTATTAGCCTTGAACAAACAACGTGTTACCTCAGGGCTAGTACTAGAGTGCCACCAAGACTTAGCCAAAGCCTCGGTAGATAATAACATTATCCTGAGGTGGATTAAAGGGCACGATAGGAGTAAAGGTAATCGCATTGCCGACTCTTTAGTCAAGGAAGCGGCTGGACTAACAATTTCAGGACCCAGTGGCGCCTACGGCCTGATGACTTCGACAATTGCGGAACCAGCCAAATGTTACACCCATGCTCAATCCCTAAAGAGATGGGATGAAATCATAGGATTGCAATTTTGCCAGGATCGCCCTTGGAGACCTTGGAAAGTTGGCTCCGAAGAAATATGTGGCGATCACCAGGAAAAATCTACGCTTAACGGTAGGATTTCTGACTGGCCACTGTCAACTGAGGAAACACCTCCACAATATGTGGCTAGTGGACACACCTCTATGCAGGATGTGTGAACAGAAAGATGACACTGTCAGGTATGTCCTATGCGAATGTCCAGAGTTATTGTCAATAAAAGAGTGTGTGTTCAGTGAGTCTTGGCCTACACCTGCCGATATAAAGGAGATTTCTCCCAGCGACCTGTCAACCTTCCTGGAAAGGACAGGATGGACGATGACCTAGGAGGACAACTCCTTGGGAGGATGTACAATGGGTCACATGTGGCCTAAGTACTGTGGGCCTACACTCACCTTCCCTACTCTACAGATACAGATGGATCCCAGTAAGAAAGGCCATCTGAGAGAAAATGTTCGTGGGTGAATGTACTATTGAGTAGTTTCCATCCAACAGAGGGACAGATCAACAGATTTGGAGAAAAGAAAAAGGTTATCTTGGGTTTACTTAGGGGGGCGATATTTCTGCACATAATTGGGGTTAGTGAAGGCAATGACATATCTCCTCTTGAAGACGCCATCGGCCAAACCGACAGGAGACTAAGTTAATGAATATCAAAGATGAACAAGGTTCTGCAAAGTGATCTGTTGTAAAGCCAAATTTCGACATCGATCGTCTAATAATAAGCGACCACTGCCTCTGCATCTCTCACTGATAGGCAGATGATTTGAAATCAGAGCCCAAAAATAAAGCATTCCTATGAATATAACATCGCTACTTTGGCCCTCTATAGGTTTCATCAGTGGTGCTAGGCTGAACCCCCAATATATTACCGAAGTCAACTATCATTGGAGGACAAGCCTGAATGAATAAAGGCTATCTACATCGATCTTCGTTTAGTATAACTTCATTTTATTTAAGAGGAATGAAAAAAAGGAAATTAATTCGTTGTTTTTTTCAGAAATAACCCGATATCTCCTCGTTAATTTACCTCTTTTCTCAGGAGAAAAACAACTAACAGCCCTGATTTGCCCTCATTCAGATCCAGGGATGTTAAGCCACATTCTCAAAGGTACGTCATTATCCAAATCCAGAGGGAAACAGGAAACCCCTACACACGTGACGGTTTGCCTGAAGTAGCAGATGAGACGTCTAATCAATGAAGTTAGCAGGGATCGATTGATAAAAGAGGAACTGGGATGAGTTCACAAAGAGTCCATCGAAGAGCATGGCTTCCTCGAGAACAGCAGCTTTACGTTCGCCGAGTGGGTAATCTAAAGTAGACGGATAATATATTTTTCGGGCTTCCACTTTCCCGAGAACAGGACAAAGAGGCGCTATGATATTTGAGTGTTTCGAGATGTAAAGTCGCGAGAGATATTATATATCAAACGTTGGAGGATATTGATACAAAGGTCATTTGTGAAAACGCCGAGAAAAACCCGATATAAAAACATTTAGCAAAGTGTGAAATACAAAATATTAATAAATCTTTATGTCTAGTGACTATATTACTAAAAAATGTACTCACAAAGAAAATGGTAAGGTAAAGAAAAGCTTCGAAAACGCTATAGCCTTTTCAATTGATTTTTAAAGACCTGAAGTGATACATTAAACAGATCTGAGTTATTATGACATTGATTTCCCAGCTTCAAAATATGAGGCATCGGACTGTTCAAAGCATAATTTGTATGGAAAAAATGTATATGAAAAATGTCGGAATTTCTCGTATCTTTTTGTTTAATATAAAAAGTTATTAGTTGAAGTCGTTCTGGGCAGTTTATCTCACTATTTATTAATTTGAAGAGGAAACTCAGGTTCATATAAATTCTCATATCTTCCAATGATTTTATATTCAACTTGGTTAAGAGTTGACTGTACTCATATTCATTTCGTTGAATACCAAAGTGTAAAGTCAGTAGAAATTCTCAACACAAAACCCAGCATTTTGAGACTTTTTGCCACAATTTCAGATACTTGAAGATTAAAATTAATTTCGCTATCAAATTTAACTCCCAGATCGCGAATAAATGTTTCTCTTTTAAGAGCTATATTATTCAATGTATATTCATTGAATATTGGACTTCTAATTTTAGCGAACGTAATGATTTGACCGTTATCAATGTTTACCTCTAACAAATCGATTCTACACCACATGGAAAAAGCTTCGAGATCTTTTTGAACTAATTCAGCACCTTCCCGGCAATTAATTGCTCGATAAAGTTTGAGATCATCAGGAAACATAAGAAATTCTGAATATTTGAAAACAAACTCAATGTCCGATACAAACAAGTTGAACAGCAGTGGGCCCATATGGGATCCCTGCGACACCCCTGATGGAACCTGAATGGGTGTAGCGGTTGTATCTCCATATTTTACAGACAGAGTTCTATCAGTTAAGAAGCTATTTAATACTTGTTTATTACATTGTAAGCTGGAGCTACAATAAGTGGAAAGCAGCGCTGGCTCGAACCAGGATATATTTGAAAAATACAATAAAAATTTCTTGCAAGAATTGTTCTCTTTGAACTATCGATGAAAAACGTGCCCTAAATGGAGTTTGATTTTGAAAACTACCAACGAAAAGTGTCATGAAACCAATTCAATTGTTGCATTGAGTGACATTATTTGACGTTACTTGATAATTTCAAAGACAGAAATATTACCCTGCACCATTCTTTGAAAACGATATTAACAAGAACATCGATTTAAAACAAACAGCACAGTTAATTGACATGAACGTTCACGTTTATTTTGATTAAAATTTAATTCCTGAGGGAATATCAGTAACAAACAAAACATATCTAAATCAATTCAAAATCACGATTTTATTTCCGTCGAGGCTACAGTATATATAAACAAACGTCGGATCTGCTTCACCATGGATATTTCCTTGACAAGATCCTTGATGGAAGCAGAGCCTGAAACAATAAATCCAGACATCACTAATTCCAGAAACATTAATTGAAAGGAAACGTGGATGCTAAGCGAACGATCATTATTGACAACCAAATCCGGAAATTTCAGTATAAAACAGAGTTTTAATATATTCTTCAGCGTAATTGAGTCCAATAGTCAGGGGCAAAACGTGACATAAGACACAAAAATAAAGGATGATATTCTAAATGAAATGTGAATAATTATATGTGACAAGTATTTGCTTTGAAAACTGGAAAACACGTAAGTAAATCTCAGGTGTGAATCTTTAAACTTACAGAAGAAAAAGGTGAAAGTCGATATTAATTCAATCAGAAACAGAATATTTTCCCATTCAAATTCAAATGTATTGCATCCATATCGTGTTAACAAGAAATAGATATGTACAATTAAAATGACTAACATAATTAATGGTTAAAAAATAACATTCTTGAATGTTATGAAACATGGAGTCAAGAACCGAATTTCTATCGGATATTTCACTGATGCATACTTCACCGCCTGTGAAAAATCACAAGACCATCACAAAGATAAAGCAAAATATGAAGAAGCATGAGAAGATCAGTACTGAAAGACACTTATCACAAAAAAGTTATAATTCACGGAAGTAGTAAAAGCATCCTTCGGTCAGTACAGCTGTTTAGATTCTTGAAAATATGAGTCAAAAGTTTTAATATATAAGTAGAGAGCACCGTGAGAATGTTATTGCTTTTGAAAGTGTCTCTGCATAATGTTCTATAAGATAGGCAGAAAATACGTCTAATAATACGTTTTTGCAACACAAACACTCTTTGTAGTTCGGACGCTTGACCCCACACTACGATACTATATGAAAAAGCGGAGTAACCCATTGCATGGCAAACTTCAAGCAAACATTCTCGTTCCAGAATGTTTTGGAGCGTGGTGACCACATAAAAACATTAGTTTAGCTTGCCACAAACTACATCGACATGCGAGTTCCATGATAGGTTACAGTCGAATTGTGTTCCTAAGAACTTCACCATTATGGATGGCTCAATTGACACTCCTTCAAATGAGAGCGGTAAATGCAGAGTTGTTCTATGTTTGCTATAAAACTCTGTATATTCCGTCTTATTATGATTGATCATGAGTTTATTTATAAAGCACCAGTCCTTGAACTCTCTTAGGATTGTGTTGACCATTTCAATCACTTTCCAAAATGACCATGACTTTTCTAACCAAAAAAATTGCACAAATTTATTTACGTTATAATATCAACTAGTGCTAATTCGAGTGTTAACTTATGCTAACTGTGTTAGCCAACTTATGTTGGCTAACACAGATAGCACTACTAGTATTGAATCCATAAGATTTTTAGTTATCCCTAACCTTCAAACAACACGTGTACAAATCTCACAGCTGTTGGACTACTAGTTTGTGAGAACATTTTGAGTTAAACGACTTTTGTTAATTTGAAAAAGTTGATGAAAAGAAATTCCGTGTGTTTAATAAAGCACTGCTTTTTGGCGAAAAAAATACTGTTGATGAGAACGCTTGGCTTGATAAACATTATTCGGACTTTATTCGAGATGAAATGAGCACCAAGGACAAGGACGACCTAAAGAGGCAGTTACCGACGAAAACATCAAAAAAGTTCACACAATCATTTTGGATGACCACAGAGTGAAGGTGATCAGGATAGCTGAGGCTCTAAAGATATTAAAGGAACGTGTTGGATATATCATAAATGAATATTTGGGTATGAGAAAGTTCTGTTCAAAGAGGGTGCCGCGCGAACTCACAATCGACCAAAAACAACAACGAATTGACGATTCTGAGCAGTGTCTGAAGCTGTCCCACCATAAAAAACCCGAATTTATGCGTCGATATGTGACAATGGATGAAACATGGCTCCATCATTTCACACCAGAATCAAAACGATCGTCATCTGAGTGGAATGCACGTGGTGAAACAACTCCGAAGCGTGCAAAGTCGCAACAGTCGGCTGGCAAGGTTATGGTATCAGTATTTTAGGATGAAAAGTGGAAAACCATTAACAGCAACTATTACATAGCGTTATTGGAGCGTTTGAAGGTCGAAATCGCGGAGACATGGCCCCATTTGAAGAAAAATAAAGTACCGCTCCATCATAACAATATATCGTGTCACAAATCAATCAAAACGGTGACAAAATTGCATGAATTGTGCTTCGAATTGCTTACGCATCCACCGCATCCTCCAGATCTCGCCCCCAGCGAAACAGAGAGTGTCTGCTGGATAGAGTCGTACTATAAAAATGGTATCGAAAAATTATATGACCGCTATAGACCACGCTGGTATTTCTTCCCATTCCCCACTTAATCCTTAGGCTCAGTGATCTGGAGTACACTCCACATCCTGAGCCTTCTTTGGTTTTTGAGCCGTCTGTGTAAGGTGATCAGGATAGCTGAGGCTCCAAATATATGAAAGGAACATGTTGGACATATGGACATATCTTGCATGAATATTTGGGTATGAGAAAGCTCTATTCAAAGCGGGTGCCGCGCAAACTCACAATTGACCAAAAACAAAAACGAATTAACGATTCTGAGTTGTGTCTGAAGCTGTTCCAGCACAAAAAACCCAAATTTATGCGTCGATATGTGACAATGGACGAAACATGGCTCTATCATTCAACACTAAATCAAAACTATCGTCATCTGAGTGGACTGCACGTGGTGAAACAACTCCAAAGCGTGCAGAATCGCACGCAGAAAATATCAGTATTTTGGGATGAAAAGTGGAAACTATTTCATAACGTTATTGGAGCGTTCGACGGACGAAATCGCGGAAAAACGGCCCCATTTGAAGAAAAAGAAAGGGTCGTTTCATCAAGACAATGTATCACAAATCAATGAAACGGTATAGCGAAATTGCATGAATTGGGCTTCGATTTGCTTCCGCATCCACCGTATCCACCAGATCTGGCCCCCAGCGACTTTTTGCTGTTCTCAGACCTAAAGAGAGTGCTCGCTTGATAGAGTCGTACTATAAAAATGGTATCGAAAAATTATATGAACGCTATAATCGTTATATCGCCCTTGAAGACAACTATAATGGAAAATAAAATTTCATCAAAAACACTTTTTCTATGTTAGCCTACGAACTTTTCAGCCCAACTTACAAATGTCCTGTTGTCCCTGAACTATTACCAACTTGAAAGATTACTGAATCCAGCCGTAGGGAAACAGCCAGTAAATATTTGTAGAATAAACTGAATTTTGAGAGGATCGGAGTTTCCAATTTCGAAGGGAAGTTGTTGTCAAGGCTCAATTCACAAAGAAAACATTTCAAATTGGATGTAGAAGATTTAAACATGATTCTCACGTATTCCATTGCTTCTGACTTGTATTATTCATCTTATATTATCTTTACAGCTATATGTGATGATATACCGGTTGAATAAAATACAAACTGCAGATTTGTATTTAGGCCAGTTCAGACTATTTTATACAATTATAACAGTATAGATGTGCCATTTATTGTGGGGTAAATTTACCATGGGCAGTTACAGAGAGACTAGATTCAGTTTCAATGCTACAGCGTTAACAAGCAATAATAAACGAATAAAACAAGTAAAATAATAGTAAAGAGACTTCGAAGTATACGTTATTCAAGCTATAGTTGGAGTTATCAAATAAGTTGTTGATTTATTGAGTGTACCACCTTCTGAAGAATCTACAGAGTGTACCACCTTCTAAAGAATCTACAGAGGCGTAACAAAACCAACTTTTTTCTTATTTGTGCTCCTCCAGATTTAGGGATATTGTTTTTAGTAGTAATTTTTGTGAAACTAATAAACATGAAGTTATAAAAATGCAACTCTGATCAGACGGTGCTAGACAATTTTTTGAATGACGTTTATTATTCAATTCCATTTCCATCGGTATAGAAATAGTAGATAGTTGTATTTCCACCTGTGAAAGTCGCTCAAATAAGCTAAAATATTCGTTCGTTCAAAATACGCACTTTATAACAGTCACGATTTTGAAAGATTTGAACGATGTTCACATATTTGTTCATGTTAATATTTCGCAAAATTGTTATCTTTTCCACAAAAGATTTATTCGCGCTCTTTCAACTTGACAAATTCGCGGAATGGCACTGGAAAGCGTGCAATCCATCTGGAAATGTTTGTGTTATTTATGTGTTATTTTCGTAGCCGAAATGCAAACATTGCCCTCTATTTGATGTGTCATATGAATAATTCCATGCAAACAAAATGTGACATATCTCACCGCTCTTTTTTGTAAACAGTCGCAACCGTATATTTGCGGTAACACCGGCCTGACCCGGTTTCATTCAAATTTCATATAATAATTTTGGAACTCGAATTTCATTCGTAAAATTCAATTATGAAGTTCTAGTGGTGTAACGCAAATGTATTTTGGGGAAAATGATTTATTATTTGTGCCCTGAAAATCCCCGAAACAACAACTAACTAAGTAGATAATGATTTATCGATGAAGTATATTAAAATATGTCATCCGCTGATCTTCGACTAACGAAACCGTGATAATGGTATGAGACCGGTTTTTTCTGAAAATTAATCGTTGAATTGGAATCAAAAAATGTGTGTGAAGAAAATATTTTGCTAAGAAATATGTATGAAATATACCACGAGAAAATTTAATTTTAGCCTATTATTATTTGCAGAAAAACGGGAGATTATGCTTGGAAACTTGGTTTTCACATTTCCATTGTTTTGAAAACATCTCGTTTTTCTTTAATGAATATTTTTTGTTTTCTTCTGAAAGAAACCTATATTTTCATTTATCTTTCTTCTTCAGTTTTTCCATGTGTGGTGATGAAGTTAATGGTTGCAAAAATCAATATTCTCTTTATGAAAATGAAGAGTTGATATACATGAACCAACTCAATATCTTTAACGCAACTTTTTTTTTCAAAAGTAAACTTCCCTTATTTACGAAAAAAAACATCTTATGCTTCGAAAACTTACTTGATATTATGTAATAAATATTGT